GTTCTTTCATTCTTATTATGATTTCTTTTTCTTCCCAAAATTTCAGTTTTCGTAGACATCAGATTAGAAAAATAAAAACAGAAAAAAATAAATATGAGGATATATTCTTTAGACGACATCTCCTTATAATGCAGGTCATTATTAAAAGAAGTAAAGGAGTACAAATGAAAAGAGTAAAAAAAAAGATAAGGCTGCTCATTTCCATTAAGCAGACGCTATATCTATGAAAGCATTATCACCTGTATCTTCCCTTTCATTCTGAACACTTCGGATCAGTGTCATGACTAGCAAGCTTAGGTCGATTATGATTGATGAGTGTCTTAAATCCTTACTGTGTGCTCCACGCTTGTGCCACATCTAAGCTACGCTTAGCGAATCATTTGAGCACCTTCGGCGGGGTGTAGTGGTCAGCAATCTTGTCTCGCTAGATAAATTACGACTGAGTAGTGAGTTCGATCCTCACTGGGTACTCCATGACTTCGGTTTTGTGCCACATCTAAGCTTACGCTTAGCGAATCATTTGAGCACCTTCGGCGGGGTGTAGTGGTCAGCAATCTTGTCTCGCTAGATAAATTACGACTGAGTAGTGAGTTCGATCCTCACTGGGTACTCCATGACTTCGGTTTTGTGCCACATCTAAGCTACGCTTAGCGAATCATTTGAGCACCTTCGGCGGGGTGTAGTGGTCAGCAATCTTGTCTCGCTAGATAAATTACGACTGAGTAGTGAGTTCGATCCTCACTGGGTACTCCATGACTTCGGTTTTGTGCCACATCTAAGCTACGCTTAGCGAATCATTTGAGCACCTTCGGCGGGGTGTAGTGGTCAGCAATCTTGTCTCGCTAGATAAATTACGACTGAGTAGTGAGTTCGATCCTCACTGGGTACTCCATGACTTCGGTTTTTGTGCCACATCTAAGCTACGCTTAGCGAATCATTTGAGCACCTTCGGCGGGGTGTAGTGGTCAGCAATCTTGTCTCGCTAGATAAATTACGACTGAGTAGTGAGTTCGATCCTCACTGGGTACTCCATGACTTCGGTTTTGTGCCATTCTAAGCTTCGCTTAGCGAATCATTTGAGCACCTTCGGCGGGGTGTGGTGGTCAGCAATCTTGTCTCGCTAGATAAATTACGACTTAGTGAGTTCGATCCTCACTGGGTACCCATGACTTCGGTTTGTGCCACATCTGCTGTTAGCGAATCATTTGAGCACCTTCGGCGGGGTGTAGTGGTCAGCAATCTTGTCTCGCTAGATAAATTACGACTGAGTAGTGAGTTCGATCCTCACTAAACTTCGGTTTTGTGCCACATCTAAGCTACGCTTAGCGAATCATTTGAGCACCTTCGGCGGGGTGTAAATCAGCAATCTTGTCTCGCTAGATAAATTACGACTGAGTAGTGAGTTCGATCCTCACTGGGTAAGTATGACTTCGGTTTTGTGCCACATCTAAGCTACGCTTAGCGAATCATTTGAGCACCTTTGGCGGGGTGTAGTGGTCAGCAATCTTGTCTCGCTAGATAAATTACGACTGAGTAGTGAGTTCGATCCTCACTGGGTACTCCATGACTTCGGTTTTGTGCTATTTTTCATTTCTTTGCTTCTTTCTTTGTTTCTTTCTTGGAAATTGTGTTCAAAATATTTAGGTTTCAGCATTAAATGACCCATAGAGATGTTCATATGTCGCCAGACAAAGTCAAACAATCCAAATAAATTAAAATTAAATTAGATGCTAAATACTTCTCAGCGGACAATGAAGTATTTGTTTTCTCTATCCTTGCATCTGGCCACCTAACTCCCCAGATTGCAACACCATTGAGTATTATGTATGGGACGTAGTTGAGCGAGAGATCAACAAAACTCCTTGTAACACCAAAAATGAACTGAAGGCAACGATTCTGACAGCATTCACCAACTTAAACAAGGAAAAAGTCCCGAAGATTTCCAGAAAATTCTGAAGTCGTCTGAAGAATGGTTGAAGCCAATTACGATTTTATTGAATAAATTTACTCTTTACTATTTCGAGATATGTTTGTGTAATCTTGGTAAATATATCTGTTAAAATGACATATCAGTTTTATTTTCATTTTTGTGTAATTTAGACAATTTATCCTTCGCACCCTATATACTTATAATCATGATACCATTCTCCAAGAATAGGTTTAATTTTGTAAATTTTGGTATCTGTCTATATTTCTGAGATGAGGTATTATATACACTATTTACAAGGACACATTGCACAGCGGATAAAGGCGTTAGTTAGATCCAGTGACAGGATCCAAAGAGTGTGAGTTCAATACCTGGTTAAGGCGGTGGAGAACTTAGCGAGGGGAATTACTAGCAGATAACTGATAACTTACATCCATTAAACATGACACGTGGAACTAGAACAGTCTACCCCAGTGAGCAAAATAAAGGGTTCAGTTCGATATTCCAAACACCTGAAGAAGGCAAAAGCGTACAACGGCCGAAACGTTGTAATAAATATGGCGGCAAAGATGAGGAGAATAGTCAGAATAATGTAAATAGTGTACTCTGACGAGCTGTTTTCGCTGGTGCCTCGACTGCATGAATTTAAGCGTGCTTCTAGGTTGGCATCTCGGTCCCACCCTTTCACAGGAGGTACGGTGGAGTAATGGATAGCGGTTTGGATTGAGGAATCGGAGAGCCGAGTTCGAATTCACTTATGTGCTAACACCCTTGGGAAAGGTGTGAATCCTATTTCTTCTTCCTCCAGCTATGGGTAAATAGCAGGACAGACTGGGTTCTATAGCCTTGGATGGCAACTGGTCTAGGAGAAGGAAAACTCTGAATTCAAACCTGCTCTTAGAGGAGGGTGAATGGAATCTCTCTGAGCTTGGTTGGCAGTCCATTTAGTGATGGTGTCACGATAAAAACACCCTTGATAGCCCTAGCGAAGCATCAAGAATTCAGCTATTTGACAAGATTATGAACTACACTAATCAAAGTATTAGTGAGTTCAATCTCGGCTGAGGCCGCAAGATGATGATGATGATTTCACTAACAGTTAAATGTAACCGCCTCTTCTACTCCAACAGCTTCTTCTCTCTCACTTCCCGACAGTGGAACTCCCTTCCTCTTACATTAAATTTTAATGTAATGTCAATCGGCATCTTCTGTTGCCTTGATCACCCTTATTCTTTTTATCCTTTTTCAAGTTATGAAGGAGTGAGAACAATAGAAGAATAATCCGGAAAACAGGAGATGACGATTGACATTGTATTTAAAATTTTGAAATTTAAAGTTGGCTGGAAAGCCAGAAATCGGAGAGTTTCACAAGCTAAAACTGCGAGAAAAGAAAAAGCGGAATATTAAATAATAGTATCAGACCATTATTTTTTAGTGGCAGTGTATTTGGCTCAGACAGTCTGAGGCTGACCTTCGGGTCAGATGGTAGACAAAATATGGATATCGATTTTGATTGTCTGAGCCGAACGTGGGAATGTTGCAGTTAGAAAGTGGTTTTACGCGCCGAAGAATGCAGACGTGATAATTTCGTGTGTGTAAACTGTACCCCAGTAGGGGACTGATAGAGCGACCCCACTGCCTAATTAAAAAAGTACATGTCGACGTGTTTAATAAAATAGATAAGTTTATTATGATCGCCTCAAGACCGTCAACTAATTGACCTCCAGAATTACATGACGGTATATTTAGATGAGGGTATATTTTATTACATGAGGGTATTATTTCGTGGAGTTAAGTTTTACACGTCGAAGAATGCAGACGTGTTAATTTCGTGCGTGGAAACTGATCCCCAGTGTAGCTCATAGAGCGACCTCGCTGGCTAGTTAAAAATGTACCCGTCGATATGTTTAATAAAATAGATAAGTTCAAAATTCCTTTTGTTGATGATTCGTTTTGCCTCCGAACAAAACAACTAGCGATCACCCAACCGAGTAAAGAAAGAAAGGAAAACAACTTTATTATGATCGCCTCAAGACCGTCAACTAAGTGACCTCCAGAATATGGGGGCTATACAACAGCTATCCTTGTTTCAGGTGCAGTAACAGACGCCCATAAATTTGATCGGGCTTTCATTACATGAGGGTATATTTAGATGAGGGTATATTTCATTACATGAGGGTATTATTTTGTGGAGAAGGTCGGAGGGTACAACGTTGTGATAAATATGGCGACAAAGATGAGGACAATAACCAGAATAATGTAAATAGTTTGTAATTTTTGTTGTTTGTGTTGTGGAGTGCTTTCACAGTAGAGGCTTGTATTTGTACTAAG